TWRRAAARGKKGRWKGRAAWKGSMAMMWTTKSMAAAAMYTYMRKTTKSMAAAAAWWAAARMMAAAAAAAAAAAACACTTTACGCTCACTTGAGGTGGGTTTTAGATTWAAAAARAGAGATAATGTGCAAAAGGGGAGATGGAAATATTTAAGAATAAGTTCTGACGTAACAAACATGTACCTCACATGATTGATCAGCTGTTCCTGCTGTCCAATAAATAATTGTWGCGGCTGCAGCTGGACCTCCTCCCGCTCTCAGCATCTTCCCAGATCTTCCCGTAACGTGAAGAAAATTACATTTCTTTCTCTACGTCTCCAGACAGCAGTAACATCACCAACACTAGCTGATATGACAGAATAAGTACGACTTTCCTGATAGTAGCAACACATTCCTGATAACTTCTCTCCATTGTCCTGAGAYGTGTCTCTGTGAGTTTGTGACTTTACTTCCTGTTTACAGCCATGCCTAATGTCAACATCTGATGTAATCGCCTGGTTGATTCACTCCAAGCCAGCTGATGGAAACACCTTTGATTCCCATTTCTTTTTTTTTTTTGCAACATTTTAAAAATTTGCCCAAAATGCACATTAAATTGGATGGAAACACGGCTATAGTTGTATGAATTTAATTTTAAATTTGAAAACCTAAATCTGCCGGAGTTTTAAATTAAAGTTTAAATCAGTTTTAACACCAGAATGGGGTCAGATCCAACTTTTCCATTGACATAAAAACATCTGGTTCTAGATTTAAACTCTATAAATTGAAATAAAACATTTTGTTTTGGACACTTTAGGTACAAGCAGCACTGATTTAATCATGTTGAATCAGTAACTTTGGGTTTGTCAGTTCAGCACTTTAAATACAGCAGGTAAAATAAGTATTGAATACATCAACATTTTTCTCAGTAAATATATTACTAGAGGTGCTAATGACATGAAATTTTCACCAGATGTCTTAAGAAATGTAATTACTGATAGATTAGTACTGATATTAGAAAACTACACCAGAGTATAGAGTTTCATTACTTTATAATACTTGTATAATATTTGATCTATTATGTGTTAGCTGAAATAGAGTAGATACGTGTCCGAATTATAAACAACACATACAGTAAGTGAACCGTTTTAAAACATTAGGGTGAGGTCTTTGTCTGAATGCCTGTGATTCAGCTGTAGGCCAGCAGAGGGCGAACTCAGGCATTGAAGAATGTGTACGGTATAAACGGGGACTTCCTGTTTTTCATTCAGTGTGGTTTTGACTTGTCAGCCGGTGGCAAATATAAACCTCACTCGCTCC